GTGGAGGGGCTGCTAGGAGTTTGGAAGGTGAGGTAAGGCAGGCGCATGGAAAGGTGAAGGAGGCCCTGGCCCAGGGCACAAGGGTTCCCATGTCAGATCTCGGGTCTGCCAAGTGCTCCATGACCCTGCGCCAGCCCCAGAACTCCGATGCTCACTTCAGAGAAGTTAAAAATGCCGACCTTGCAGGGTTGGGAGGAGTCTTTCCGTTCACAGTTCCTCCTCCCCACCTCGCGGTGTGGGATTTATGGAAAGAGGTGTGTTTGTTGCAGGGTTTGGGGACTCAGGGGTGAGCATTCGAGCATAGGGAGCACCAGCATGTTAGGGTGTGGGGGCGGCAGCCAGAGACACACTTGAGATGCACAAGAGCCTTGAGAAATATGCCCACAGCAGGAGTAGCCTGCTCCAGTGCCCCAGGGGACAGGGCGCGGTGTAAAGGGGCCCATGGGGGCTGGATCCCTGGAGAACTTGAGCTCCGACTCCCTGGCGGTCCTCTCCGCAGGCCCTCCTGGACCCTGAACTGCCAGTACTCCGACACCCTGGCGCGGTGGTTGGACGGATGCAAGCTGTAGCTGCCGGGGCGGCCCTCGCCACACTCCCAGCTGAATGTTCTGAATGAAGACGCCTTCCTGTGTGCGGCCTTCACTCAATCCCGCTTGACAGCTCCAGGTGGAAAAGGACAAAAGTTTGCTTCCTTCCAGGGATGCAGGATGCAGAATAAACCAGCCACTTCTTCAACCTGGGCCAGAGGTCTCCACTTGTGTGATTGTACTGTGATCGTCACTATGCTAAGCATCATTTACCGTGATTATGACTTATCATTAATTAATCTCAGATGGAGGGTTTGGAGGAAGGAAAGGATCTGGAAAATGAGATGTGTCTATGAATATTAAGTAAAAAAAAGGAAGAAAAGAGGCAGTGGGAGAAAAGGGGCGTCAAAGAAGAGCAGAGGAGAGGCCTCCGGTCCAGCGCGTAGAGACGCACAGGTGGATGGAGGAGACCACAGAATCCCCTTTGCCCTTCTGTGGAGAGAATCCAGTGACAGTTGCTCTTTCTTATAAAGAGTTAAGTTTTTAAATATATTTTTATTGATTTCAAAGAGGAAGGGAGAGAGAGAGAGAGAGAGAGATACAAACATCAATGATGAGAGAGAATCATTGTTGGCTGCCTCCTGCACGCCCCACACTGGGGATGGAGCCTGCAACCTGGGCATGTACCCTGACTGGGAATTGAACTGTGACCTCCTGGTTCATTGGTTGATACTCAGCTACTGAGTCACACTAGCTGGGCCTGGTTTTTATATTTTCTTTTAATTCTAACAACTCTCTCACTTAGATACCATTATTTTCTCCAATGTATAAATGAAAACTCTATGGCTTAAAGAGATAAAGTAGCTTGATCAGTGAGACAGAGCTAGTAAGTGGTTGAGTTGAATGAGGTTTGTCTACTACCCAGGATATAAGATCCTGATGGCATTGTTTTTGTCTGTTGATTTAGCACCTAAAACAATACTTGCTAATAGGTGTCTAATAACTTCTAAAAATCAATGAGTATTGAAAAAATTTACATTATACTTTAAAAACAGTAAAGCAGAAAATCATTTGAGTAACTTTGTTGTTCACATGTAAGTGACCAATAATTAAAAATCACTGTAAAGAAATTGCTCCAGCAGTCACATCAATATATGTGTTAGATAACCTAATGTGTCCAAAGTTTGAATATGATGACAATAATGTTTGTATAAATAGAATTGTGTCTAACTCCTCAGGTTTGGGATTCTTCAGTAAACCATAGTGCATTGTAAGGATTGCTAATGAATGTGTGCTTTACTTCAAGTCTTAGACGATAGAAAATATATACTGAAGTTAAAGCCCTGAAGTTATACTCAAAGAAACAAAGAAAAAACTGATAGTTGTCAGAGGGGAGGGGGATGGATGGATGAAAAAGGTGGAGGGGGATAAGAGGCACAAACTCCAGTTATAAAATAAATAAGCCACGAAGGTATAGTACACAAGCTCAGGGAATATAGTCAATAATAATGTAATAACTTTGCATGGTGACAGATCATTACTAGGTATATAAATGTTGAGTCACTATATTTTACACCTGAAACTATTTTAATATTGTATGCAAACTATACTTTAATAAAAGCATTTTTTAAAAGAGCTTAAAAAAAGATGAATTTATAGAGGATCATAAGTTGAATGTAATAAAGCAGTGTAGTAGTAGCATTGCATAATCACTTAAGATTCAAAAATGTATAAATTCAAGAATGGCATGGACATTGCACTTGTTGATTTCTTTTTTAGGTGTTTACTTGTTAGATATCTAAATTGGACATTTTAAGAGAAATTAAAGAAATTGAAGGAATCAGAGAAACACCAAAAAGTTTAAAAGTCTTGATGCTAAAAGAGCATAAAGGACAAAATTGATTGAAGAGTTGTCCTTAAAAATACTAGGATTTTTTGCAAATGGCACTGATCAACTGTTTCCCATCACATTTTTTTAGGTGTTTACTTGTTAGATATCTAAATTGGACATTTTAAGAGAAATTAAAGAAATTGAAGGAATCAGAGAAACACCAAAAAGTTTAAAAGTCTTGATACTAAAAGAGCATAAAGGACAAAATTGATTGAAGAGTTGTCCTTAAATATACTAGGATTTTTTGCAAATGGCACTGATCAACTGTTTTCCATCACATAAGAAAATATTTAAGTGGAACATCAAGACATTAAGCTATTCACTTTCAGGATGATTGAATATTAGGACAGGTTAATATACTAATAAGAGTCTGTGGCTCCTTCTAATTGGCATTTGACCAGAGGACAATTTTCCTTTTTTGGGTGCTTTGAGTTCAGGCCAATTCAGGTTTGGACAGTAAGCTAGAAGGTCTTTGAGACCCTTTTTGGTTCTAGGGGAAAATGGAGTATATGGTAAAGACTCTCCCATTATTCAGGAATGGATCTTAACCTCTTTTAAGTGCACTTATATTTTCTTGTCTTTTGAAAGAAGACCTATTAGGATGTCGCACAGAGTGATTTATTTTTGTCCTGTAATATGTTTTAGGAAGTAAGGTTTAAGGTAAAACATTATTTCACTTTTTTTTAAAGGTTATTTCAGGATATGAAACAAGCAGGTTCTTCCACGTTATTGAAAGCACTTCCTTTGAAGCTTCAGCAAACAGCTTTTGAAAATGCGTACCTGAAAGCTCAGGAAGGAATGAGAGCAGTGGTAATTTTAGTAATGTGTATTTGCTATTATTGTATACTTTCTATAAACATACCATATATTACTTTACCAACATTGGCCCAAGACAGTTTCTATCTAATAGTTTACAGTATAAAGTTAGACTATAGCAGGAAGGGTGGAGGTGGGAAAAGGGTGGGGGTTATGGGAAACATCTGTAATAATGTCAACAATAAAAAAAAGTTAGACTAAAACAACTATGAACTTATTGAAATATTTGTATTTGTTGGTCAGGATTAGTAGAATAATGGCAATTTCCTTTGATTCAACTTATATGTAGCATTTTTAAAAATATATATTTTATTGATTTTTTTACAGAGAGGAAGGGAGAGGGATAGAGAGTTAGAAACATCGATGAGAGAGAAACATCGATCAGCTGCCTCCCGCTCACCCCCTGCTGGGGATGTGCCCGCAACCAAGGTACATGCCCTTGACTGGAATCGAACCTGGGACCCTTCAGTCTGCAGGCCGACGCTCCATCCACTGAGCCAAACCAATTAGGGCTATATGTAGCATTTTTGTTGGAAAACAATTTCCTGAATTTTCTAGGAGTACAAATGATTTTCTTTTTTATTAAACATTTTTTTTTTTTTGGTAAGAGCTGGACAAAATCTAGTTCAGAGAACAGGTAACAAAAGGAAGAAATGGATTGAGAAAAATGTTCTAATAAGGAATATCAAATTACCATGGTGTCCTTTAGTGAACCTCTTGATTTTCATATTTCTCTGTAGCATAATGATTTTTTTCCTTAAAATGAAAATTGTCCTAGGCTTAGAATTTATTCATTTATTTATGCTTTAATTTGTTTGTAAAAGCTATATGAGGCAGTTAAATAAATGACTTTCTAGTCTGTGATAGCACAAGACTGAAAAGGACAGTTGTGTAAAGAATGTGAATTTAGTAAAAGATTTCAATAGATTTGAAAAATGAGTTTAAATATTATAAAATTAATAGAGATAATGTATATTATACATTTTAAAATCAGCCTGTCATGTGCAAAAAGGGAAAATATTGACCTGACAACAATTCATTTAGATAAAGACCTAAGAAGTTTTACATTTGAGAGCACACTATGAATCAACATTGTAACAGTCTTTCAAAAAAGCAAAGTCTGTCTTTGACATCATTGATAGAAGCATACTATCATGAACAGGTTGATAGAAAGAATTTGATCTTCTATACATTTTATTTTATTTTTTAAATATATTTTTATTGATTTCAGAGAGGAAGGGAGAGAGAGAGAGAGAGAAACATCAGTGATGAGAGAGAATC